CAATCAGCTGCATGGGCCATCAAGGCCTCTACTGCTTCTTCTTTCTTTGGTAGAGCAGCTCTCAAATGGCTTAAGAGGTTGCAGCATAGGATCCCTACAAACGATTCTAGGACACATCAGGACTTTAATAAGATAAAGGCTGCTATGGAGTTTGTGGCAGATGCCTCACTTAACGCCTCTCAATTCACGTCCAATTCCATGGCTGCCTCCATTGCCACAAGGCATCTACTTTGGTTGAGGCAGTGGCAGGCTGATGCTAAACACATGTGGAGCCTTGCATTAGTCCCCTATTCAGGTCATCAGCTCTTTAGTCCTCCCATGGAGCTGCTGTTAGTGGAATCCAAAGACAAAAAGAAAGTCTTACCTTCCCAGTTTAAGAAATCTGACAAGAAATCTTCTATCTCTTACAGGAGGTTGCCCTTTAATGGTGATGGAGGAGGCTTTTCCTCCCCTCACCCCCAATGTCAGTTCAGCCCACCTCAGAACCAGCGACCCCAACAGGACACATCAAATAAAGGGGGTCAGCGTTATCAGGCTGGAGGATCCTTCCAAGGTGGGGCTAACCGTCCCTACCAGCGTCAGAAATTACTGCCTAATGACGTTTTCCATCGGGGGCCGATTGGCCTTTTTTTGCCCACCGATGGACGCTTGGGTCAGGGAGACGGTGTCAAACAGCCTCTCCCTCGAGTTTCTCTCCTATCCCCTGAGGTTTTTTGGAACATGCCTGGTGTCTTGGGGTGTGGGCTGAAGGCCTTTGTTGGAACAAGCAATTCAATTCCTCCTGGACATCCAGGCAATTCCAGCTGTTCCAGTAGATCAGAGGAGACAGGGGTTTTATTCCCTTCTGTTCATAGTTCTGAAAGCCATTCTTGACCTAAAATGATTGAACCACCACATGGCGTATCAGCACTTCAAGTTGTGACCATTGCACACTACCATGGGAAGTGTCCAGAGGGACAACTTCCTCACCTGAGTGGATCTGATTCCTTACCAGGTGAGGCAGGACCTTCAGCTGGTCCTCCAGCTATTAAGAGACCATGGATTTTCCATCAACCTGGACAAAAGTCACATCTCTCCCACCATCTGGATTCTCCATCTGGGGGCGATCATAGATGCCAGGGGGGAAAGGTCTGCCTTTCACAGGAATGCCTGACCAGTCTGAGATCGATGACGTCATATGTCATGAAGCGACGACAGGTGTTGCTGGTTGTGCTCTCTCTACTGCTGGAGAGGATGGTGTCCTACTTCCACATCGTGCCATGGGCGAGACTGCACAGCCGGCTACTCCAGTGCTTCCTCCTTCACCATCAGTGGGCAGACAGAGTCTGCTCATCTGTGAGGGTGGTCCTGATGTTGGCAGTGCGCGATTCCATGAGATGGTAGATATCATCAGCGAATTAACAGGGGGCCTTGTTCCTAGAGCTGGCCCAGATCACAGTGACTACAGGTGCCAGCCTGTCGGGTTGGGGTGTGCACCTTCAATCAGACATCGCCAAGGGTCTCTGGTCCCCGTCAGACAGCCAACACAGCAGGGTGGCCTGATGGCCTTCTCTACACATTTTCTCCCATTCCTCTCATTCAGTGGGTGGTGCGGAAGATGCTAGGGGAGGAAGCTGAGCTCATCCTTCTTGCTCTGGCCTGACTGTGCCACCCCTGGTTTGTATACCTGAAGGCAGTGGCCCCGTCTTGTCATCTGCCATTGTCGCCGGATGTCCTCAGGCAAGGAACTCTTCTTCATTTGGATAAAGTTGACCACTTGGCAATTGAGCAGCATGGCTTGATTGGGACATTTGTCTCCTCAGGTGGTGGCAACGATTCAAGCGTCTCATTGTCCGTCCATGATCTGTATTTATGATGCAACCTGGAAAGCGTTTTTCTTGTCGTGTGCAGGCAAGAACATGTCAGCAGCCCGAGCGCCATTACATCATGTATTGGACTTTCTACAAGAGGGCTTGGACAAGGGCCTATCGCCCAACATGCTGTGATGCCAAGTGGCGGCCCTCTCATCCATCTTGACTTACAGGGACTTTACATCCTTATCACAAAATCCCTTGATTCATCATTTTTTGTGAGGAGCTTTGAATCTACAGCAGTCCATAATTCATTGCTATCCAATCTGGGACCTTCCCAAGGTCCTCCTGACATTGACAGGTTCTCCTTTTGAACCACTGGATGACACCTGCCTGAGTTACCTGTCCTTCAAAGTTTTATTCCTCGTAGCCATTACATCGGCCAGGAAGGTTTCTGAGTTGGTGGCACTATCAGTGCGCCAGAACTTGTATGTGTTTCATAATGACAGGGTGGTCTTGAGACTTGACCCCTTCTTTGTGCCTAAGGTCAACATATGTTTCCATAGGGCACAGGAGCTGGTGCTCTCGAACTTTTGTCCATCTCCTACCCACAGACTTGAAAGACAGTGGCATAAACTAGACATGAGATGGGCCCTTTGGATTTACATTCACTGCAATTCATTGATATGACGCACAGAGGCGTTGTTTGTGTCTTACCAACCGACTTCCTTGGAACTTAAAACATTGTCCGCTACACTGTGTTGGTGGATCAAGCCTGCATTACTAAGCCATACGAATTGCAACTGCAGCTGGTTCCAGATCGTATCTTGGCATACTCGACAAGGAGTACAGTGATTTCAGCTACCTGGGCCACTGATGGCTCTCTTGAGGAAGTTTGTCATGTGGTCACCTGGGCATCCCCGTCGCCATTCATCTGCCACTACAAAATTGACACTTACGCATCGGCGGATGCAGCTTTTGGCAGACGGGTTCTGCAGCGGTTGCATGAGGCTCAAGAAATTTCGGCCCAGTCGCAGGCCCACCCGTAGCGACAGTACTAGCTTTGGTATGTCCCATTCATGACTGCTGTCTCCACCAACAATGGAGATTGAGCGTTGGTTTACCTGATATGCTCAATCTCTGGGAAGGTGCAGACAGCAGTCATCCCCACCCTATGAAGAGGTCCAGTCCGACAGTTGGAGGAGTTCTTCGGTGATACCATAGCACGTCAGTCTGCGGATCACATTCATCATAAAAGCTGGTGAGGCCAGTGAAGAAGGCGGGATATGCAAATCTTCAGACTCAATCCCATTGGATGATAACAGAGTTAACCCATTCATGACTGCTGTCTCCACCTTCCCAGAGATTGAGCATATCAGGTAAGCCAACACCCATTCTGATTCTGATCTTGGAGCTCTCATTATCCAGAGCTTCTCCAAGGTGGTCAGGATCAAAGTTTCAACAAGTTTGCCTTGTTTGATAGTTTGCCTTAAGAGAATGAAAGTAACAATATCAATCCAATAAAATAAGGGAAAAATAAAGAAATTGCCCAAGTTAGATCTATTCTTCCTAGAAGCAAAATAAACCCATCTAAATCCTCCTGAAACTCCCAAAATATAACCAAATATTTTGGACATGTCATTCGAATGACATGATGTCATCTGCCTTAGTCTCTGGCTATAAAAATGTTCTTTACCTTATTTATCAAGCCACTGTAAAACAAATTATGAATTAATGCAAATGGAGAATTCAGCTACACACACACACACACACACACACACACACACCCCTATTCTGCAGGCAAAATCTTCTTTCTATATCACTCTAATCATATTTTTTGCATTATATTGTGTT